CCGAGCGGTCATTCATTGTCCCTGGGTGCGTGGCTGAAGCGGGGATCCGTGGTGGGGATATGTTTGTTGTTGTTGCTGTTGTTGTTGTTGTCGTCGTCGTCGTCGTCGTCGTCGTCGTCGTCGTCGTCGTCGTCGTCGTCGTCGTCGTCGTCGTCGTCGTCGTCGTCGTCGTCGTCGTCGCCCCCCCGACCCGCCCGCTACCCACCCGCCACCCATCCCGCGACCCACCCCGCGACCCGCCCGCGACCCGCCCCGCGACCCACCCCACGACCCACCCGCGACCCACCCGCGACCCACTCCGCGACCCGCCCGTGACCCACCCGCAACCCACTCCGCGACCCACCCCGCGACCCCCCCCCCGCGACCCACCGCGCGACCCGCTCCGCGACCCACCCGCGACCCACCCCGCGACCCACCCCGCGACCCACCCGCGACCCACCCGCGACCCATCCGCGACTCAGCCCGCCGCCAACCCGCGACCCACCCGCGACCCACCCCGCGATACACTCACATTGCTTTAACGAAGAAATCGGCGCCTGCGGCGGGCTCACTGCATAATTTGCGAAAGTAGGGCGCCTGCGGCGGGCTTCTTCAGAGCCTCGCAGACTAACGACGTCCTCGCCGCCCCCTCAGTCTTATCCGCAACTGCGGGGTGCTACGTTTATATCATTTGTCGCTCCCCTGTAAACAGCGGCCCCCAACCCCACGCGACGATGCTCGGTTCAACAGACCTCAGCTGAGGCTGCTCGGAGCAGACCAGGAAGTGGTGGTTAACGGCCGACGCAGCAGGGCGAGGGTGGCACAGCCTGTGTTTCCAGCATCGCATTGACGCCCCGCCTGAGATACTTCAGCGACCAGACCACTTCGGAACAACGCGCAGCTTTTACCGGGGCCCGGACCGCGCGAGCCATGGCCGACCAGTCTGAAGAACACATGTTCGTTGAGCACCTCTCGGACGCGGCGACAGCGATCAGCAAATGCGCAGCGCAGGAGCGACGTCCCGAAGAAGTGCACTGGCGCAAGCAATGTCCATAGGCTCCTCGCGACCAAATCGCATCGACCGCACAACCGTCGAGGTTGCCGAGGTTGCCGTCCTCTTGTCACATCTTGAAGCTTAGAAATGGTATATCACATCCTTCCCAAATCATCGCCAGACGACCCCCACAAGCCCCGACACGACATGGAAGTAACGGCTGCGAAAACCAGGCAGACAATTTCACTGAATTCGCGACTCAGTCCCCCAATCGCTGACCAACAGGAAAAATCCGAACGCCCAAGTGCAACCGTGAAGAGATGCGGGGACCGGCGTGGGCATGCCACGGAAAACGGTTCACTGCAGTCTGATGTCCTGGCTCATTCGGTTAGCGTTGATCGCGCATCGGCATTCCATTTGTTGCCCAGCCTGCATGCGAAGCATTGGCGACAATTAAGCCCGATAGCGCGCGCACCGCAAGTGAGAAATCGTCGGACAAAGTGTTTGCCGCATTCAACAATTCCCAAAAGCAATGTCGAAATGACGAGCCCACAAAGTAAAAGTAATTACTGGGACCGCCCGAAGACGGTGCCCCGCCGGAGACGGTACGGCAACCTTCACAATATCAGGCGCATGATAAAAGAAGGCTGTCAAACATGGCGGAATGCACAAGGATGTCCGCGACGTCGTTAATGAATGAAGACGGCATGAACCCCTGACCACACCCATGGAGGACCACGCATGCATTGAGAACCGCGCTTCATTCTGACGTACAGCTAGTTGACGGGTCAATCATTACAGTATTGGGAACGTGAAGTTCGGGAAATCGACATCGATCCGACCACTATCACATCCCAAAAATGATATCGGTATCAAATGTTGGGCCACGGGCTGACACTTGGGCGGCACCAGCTCGAAGGCAGTGAGCGCACAGCTGATGGGCAAATCGATTGAATCAAATGTTTCAGCGACGGCCCCGGCGTTGCACGCAGGAGCCTCCGGCTTCACCGCCACGGTCTCAAGAGAACAAGCACGTGCCTCCGCCGGTGCCACGGACGTTGGAAGATAGCCCAAAGAGACCGTGGAGCCTCGCAATGAAAGGTAACGAGGTAGATTGCCATCGCGACTATGAGGGCGAATAAGGCCGACGAGGTTTTCCCAGATCCAGGCGGCAAAACCTGCACGTTCCCAACCAGAATGCCCAGCACGGATCGTATTAGCCGTGCCAACATGTGTGCCACTCGTTGGAATCGCGGTGTTGGCGATCCAACAACCACAAGCTGTACCCATCACCGAATCAGCAAATGCAACGTATGCGTTGGTGATCTCGAAGACTACATTCCGCAAAGACGGAGACTGCCGAATGCCACAGAGCCAGCCGGGAGGAAGGGGACGAACCACGCGGCAGTCCCACCTCGCAGGCTTGCCCTTCCTCGCTCCAAGTATCTGGGAAGCATCTGCTACCACCAGAACATGACCCAGGACACAAGCTGTTATTGCGCAGGAATGCACGTGCTAGCAATGAAGTGATAGCGGAAGGCCAGACATAAACTCCAACCTTCATGATTGTCCAACTGCCTGCAAATCCGAGAAAATGCTTCACATACTTGGGCCACTTCGTCTTGTCCGGCTGCCATCAGCGTCAGGCGGCCCTAGAGGCCTCCAAGATGGCCCCAAGATGGCCGAAGAGGGCCCTAAAGGGGCGCAGTGATCCTCCAAGACGGCTTCATGAGGGCCCCAATGGCCAAGGACTGCCCCAAAATATCCCCAAGCTGGCCCAAGAGGGCCTCTGGAAGGACCCAAGACGGCCTTTAATAAAAATGGACACTCGACGACCCAAGCCGGCCCCAAGACGGCCCCACGGCGGCCCCAAGGGACCACCTAGACGGCCAAGATGGCCCCAAGACGGCGCAAGAGAGGCAGGTGCAAGAGGTCCCCAAGGGGCCTCGAAGACTGCACCACAGGCGCCCAAGAAAGCCCCAAGATGGCCCAAAAAATGAGCTCCGCCTCAACATTATCACCATCACCGTCATGGTGTTCAGCATCGCACTCGTCCACGACGATACTCCTCCTCCTCCTCCTAATTCTGCGCCTCCTCCTGCTCCTCCTCCTCCTCCTCCTCTCATCATCGTTTCCTTCATCCTCCTATTCCGTCCCAAGACGACCTCTGATGAGAAATGATACTGGAGAAAAACCCAGAGCCCCAGGACACACAAATAAATACACACAAATAAAAATACTCCCCATACTTTCCTATATTGGTTTTTTGTCTCCCCCCCACTTCCCATATTTTCCCATATTTTCTGGGGGATCGACGATTAATTGTGTCTGTGTGTGTTTCCCCTCCTGACCTGTGGCCCAACCACCACTCCACCATGCGCGCAGCCCTGCGGCCCGCGCCCGCGCCAGAGGGTAAGAACTCAGAGGCGGCAACACCAGAAGTGCGCGCTCAGCGCGGACCCGCTTGAGCAATCTCATATCGTACCGCGCCAGCCGCCGCCGCGCGAAGAGCTCGAGGGTGTGCCACGGGCGCCAGGGAAGTCCCCCGGAGCACGAGGACCCAAAATGCCCTGGGATGCGTGCTTGGATCCGCTGGGTCCCACAGCCGGCCTCCGTGAAGTGATCGACAGCAGAATCCAACTGAAGAAAGAATGCGGATGCGGACCGCGACGCCATGACGTCAGGCCCTCCTGCTGCGCACCTAACTACCACAGCGAATGCTCAGATTCGAAGGGTGTAGGTAATCATGAGGACACAGGCCCTGTGAAATTTGGGGGCGCCGCTGAAAAGAAATGAGGCATGCCCATCCTTTCGTCCTCCAGCCGGGGGGGATGGCGACAGGGCACGCCTCAGGATGTCAAATCGATTGACCTGAAAACTGCAGCAAACTGATCCCAACCATGCCCCTCAAAGAATGGGTCATAGGGGACGTCAGGTCCTCCTCCTCCTCCTCCTCCTCCTCCTCCTCCTCCTCCACCTTCTCCTCCTCCTCCTCCTCCTCGTGCTCTTCCTTGTGAATAACTCATCCCATTCGCACCCCGAGGCCAGTCGGAAGGGCGGGCCGGGCGTTTGGCCTGAGAATTCCTTACCATGTATGAACCTCACGCAAAAACTGCCAACAGCTTCACAGATGGAGGGCGGGCCACTTCCAAAATGTGACTCTGGTCTGACCGCCGCGCACATTCGATTAACAAGATCGTAAAAGCTTCACGGATTGAGGACAGGTGGTTTTTACCATGTGGCTCTCGCCTTTAGCGCCGCGCACGTTCGTTCTAAAACTGTGCAAGAGCTTCAAGGATTGAGGGCAGCTCGTTGTAAAAATGTTCCTCTCGCCGTAGCGCCGCGCAAAGTCGTATCGACATTGCAAGAGCTTCACAGATTGAGGGCGATTCATTTTCAAAATGTGGCTCTCGCCTCAGCGCCGCGCACATTCGGTGTTAAAACTAACCAGAGATTCACTGGTTCAGAAATGATGACTCGGAACGGCTCTGGATTGTCAGGGCGCAAGAGTTACGTTGACTCGCGGTGTTCAAATCCCAGGAATGGTGTTCTGGCACGACTCAGGATCGTCAAGACGCAGCAGTCAGGTTGAATCGTGGCGTTGAAGGCATGAGAATGCTGTTTTGGCACGCTTCAGGATCTTCAAACGGTTGTCTCCCAACGGGGCACTTCCCAGTGGAGATGAGTCCTTGTATGGGGCCTATGAAGAGGGAGCTTGGAGGGAAGGTATACTCAAAACATTGTTGATGAGTCGTGGGTTTGCTCTGGTCTTCTTCCTCCTCCTCCCTTCTTCCATCCACCTCAGGCCTCCAACGACCAGACTTGTTCGAATCGCTGGCACTATGGAGCTCTCGACCCCTTCATCTAGACATGCTGTTCATCCTGAATCCTGCTTCAGCAGTCCCAGGGTGGAAACGGCCTCCAGAGGGAGAGTCACAAAAAACTCCAGCGAAACTTGATCCTGTCGCCAAAGGTCTGGGGCAGCACGCGTCTGCTTCCCTCGGGGGGTTCGCGAGGCGCTTGGCTGTCCTGAAGTCTGTTGCAGTCCGCGCATTGACCTCGTGGCCCGCACAGTCCATGGCCTCGCCAACAGCCTCAGAAGCACGACGGCGACGACGACAACGACGACGGAGAGCTGGCCACGCAGGAAGGCCGAAGGCCATCGAAGGCCATCTGACAGGGGAGCGAGGGTGAGATGGACAACTAACCGTCAGCAACTCCAAAATCTGAGTCGGTTGTGTTTCGCCATTTCGGTTCCTGAATTTACAGGAGATATGCATGGCTGGACATGCTTGTCATCGGTGGCTAGGTCTGGTGCGCGGGAGGCATGTCAGCTCGGAGGGCTGTGCCCGTGCTGGAGGCTCTCAGAATTGGGACCAGAGTAGATGGCGTCGGAGGATCGCACCGCATCGCCGATGCAACGACATTCATGCACCAGCTACGTCGGGATGGAGCAAATCAGGCTCCCGATCGCGCCGCATCGCCGACACACGGGAGATGCGGAACGACCATCCGACCACATCTGCTGCGGCCCCCTGAGGGCGGTGGACAGGCGCTCTCCAAAGAGAAAGGTCTCTTGAGACCTCCAGAGCCTGCCAAGGTCTCCAATCGGAGCAGGGCGACTCCCCGCACCCCTCCTGGGATCCAAGCGCATCACTTTTCCGACCCGCGTCCAGCCGTGGCGACGGGGGGGAACCGACAGCCAGCTGCCGCTGTCTCGACTGGCCCTACTTTGATCCAAAGCTTCCACAAAAGGTCCCCGCAGAAGTCTCCGCAGAGGTCTCCGCAGAGGTCTCCGGCCATCGGGGCGGCCTGAACTTCCAACCTGCTGCGCCCTGCCCCAGGGCTGGACCTGAACGATGTTTTGGCCATTTTGTGGGCCGTTGTCGTCTCGATGTCGTCTTGCGGCCAAGGCGACTCGAAGACAAAACGAGGGAAAACGAAAACGAAACGAAAACGAAAAACACCGTCTGGGTTCAGCCCTGCCCTGCCCCCCCAGGGGCATCCCGCCAACGCGCTGCTGCTCGCGGGCCCGTCGGGCCCAAGGGGGGCCCGCCGATCGCGCCGGGCGCCGCACGGCGCCGCACCGGCAGCGCTCGCGAGGCCCGGCGGGCGGGGAGCGCGGGCGAAGCTGCGAGGCGGAGGCTTTGTCTATGCCCGCGGGGAGCTGGGGCCCCAGTCGGATAGGAACAAGGGAAGGCGGCACCAACACCAACAGGGCGAGGAGATGCGAGACATGCCCAGCCTCCAGCTCGGGGAGGCATCGTGGACCTCCTCGCTGGAGGTGGGCCCCCTGGTGGTGTTGGTGTCGCATCTCCCTCCTCCGAGTCGGAAGCTGGGCGAGGGCTGGCAAATCCGTGCCTGTTAAAACGGTATCCCCAGAAGAGGAAAAAAAATTACTCCGACGGAAGGACCCCACATGATAATCTGTTTAACTTTCCCTTATCCCTTTCCTCCCGGCCATGGCAAACACCCTCGTATCGCCCTCTCCTCTGCCATCTTTTCCTCTTCTTCTATTTCCCCCCCCCTCCTTCTCCTCCTCCTCCTCCTCCTCCTCCTCTCTCCACCTCCTCCTCATCATCGCCCTCCCCATACCCCTTCCGTCCTCATCCTCCTCCTGCCTCTTTTCCACGTGCACGTCCCTTCCCCCCCGGTCGGGGGAAGCAAGTCGATTTTCCTCGGCGCCGTCGCCGCCTCGGTCAGAACGCGCGCGTTTGCCGACGGCCAGATCGCGAAGCCGTCGGGTCAACCCTTCGGGCCAGCCATGCCTGCGGGGCACTCCCGCGGGCCGCCGGAGCGCGAGGGCAGGCCGTCGGGACAACCCCGCGGGCCAGGCCGTTGGGACAACCCCGCGGGCCTCCTCGCGCGCGCCGCGGCGCTCAGGCGGGCGGCAGCACGAAGCCCAGCTCTGCCGCGAGCTGCTCCGCTTCAGCCCTGGAGTCCACCGCTCTCTCGTCGAACTCCTGGAGCGCCTTCCGCAGTGACGCCGGCGGCCCGCGCTCCAGGAACTCTCGCGCGGGCGGCCGCAGGATCAGCATGTTCCGCATGCACGTGGCGCGGGAGAACATGACGTAGAGGTGCAGCCACCACATATCGTCCGACATGCCCGTGCGGCCAGCGTCCTCATCCCTGGCGCAGTCGATGGTGACGCCCTTGCGCAGCGTCTGGCCCTGCGACAGCGTGGAGGTCAGGTAGGACGCGTGCGTCAGCGTGAATCCCGAGCGGCGCACAGTGTGCGCCCCCGAGCTCTGCCACGTGAACTCCTGCTCGCTGGGCCTGAACATGAGCAAGCTCCTCGCCCGCGCCTGGGCCTCGCCGTCGTCGTCAGCGCCCTCGGTGCCCTGCAGCAGCACCTCGGCGACCTCCTTGTAGATCGGGGACTCCTGGAAGCCGTGCACATGCAGCCAGATTCCCTGCGGTAGGAAGCGGGGGCGGAAGAGCTGGCCCGGCGCGCACTCCTCGTAGTCCCGCTCGTCGTCTGCGTGAAACTCGAAGGACACGATGGTGGCCCGTTGCTCCTGCACGAGCCCCAACTTCTTCTTCAGCTCCTCCTGCACGGCCGTGAACCGGACCTCCATGCCGACGTGTGCCGGTAAGACGCCGTGGATGTCCCCCGTCTTGTGCATGTTCGGGACGTTCAGGAGGCGCCGGCCTGCGTCTGGTTCGCCTTGAATCGTGCCGCACTCGTCTACGGCCTGCAGGAAAACGAGGGGGACGCCGAGGCGCCGCGCGTCGCGACGAGCGCGCGTGTTGATCCACCTCGCCAGCGTCTCCCAGTAGATGCCCATGCCGTAGCCGAGCCGAAAGTTCTCGTGCTGGTGCCGAGGGTCCAGGACGCCGTGGTTGTCAGAGGCCAACGTCTTCTCCCAGGCAGACCAGACCTCTGGTGGGAAGCGCTTGCCCTCGCGCAAGCAGCCCAAGAACGCGATCAGAGGGTCCCCCGGCTCGAAGCGCTTCGTGCCCTCCAGCTCGAAGACGCAGGGGATCTGAGAGAATACCCTGATGGCGTGCTGGATCTCCACCGTCGGCGGCTCCGCGTACTTGTACGACCCGTCGTCCAGGAGCTCGTTCACGTCCGTCAGGAGCCCGATGCTGCCGGTGGGCTTCAGCTGCAGGAAATCCCCGAGGTGCAACACGATGGGGACGCGGCCGAAGTGGCGGTGCGGCCTCTTGTAGGTGGACTCCTGCACGTCCTGCACGTCGTGCGTTCTCGAGGGGCCGTTTTCGTGACGCATGCCAAAGAAAAACGTACATTGCGTTCCATCCCCCTATGGGGAAATTGCAAAATGTGCTGCTCGTCATCCGCAATCATCGATTTCAAAGCGTTTCGTGAGGGTTTTCCATCGAGCGCCCGCGCCAGGCTCAGCTCCGTTTCCGGCCAACGCGATTCCTCCCCCGACGCCCGAGAAAAAAATTGCGTTAGTGACCCCTTAGTCCATTGAAACATCGGTGTTAGGAAAAGGGGGGGTCAGAAAAAAACTGGAGAGGGGACCTTTTCAAGTTCCCTCTCCAGTTGGAACGCGCGGGGAAGTGAACCTTTGCAAGTTCCCTTTCCCGCTGCTGGAGAGTGAACCTTTGCAAGTTCCCTCTCCAAGGGAAAGTGAACCTTTTCAAGTTCCCTTTCCCGCGAATGAAGGGTGAACCTTTTCAAGTTCCCCCTTCACTCCGACGACAAGGGGGGACAGGGAACCTTTGCAAGTTCCCTCTCCCGCAGCTAGAGACGTCGAACCTTTTCAAGTTCCCTCTCCAGCCCAATCCTGCCACGAACGGGAAAGTGAACCTTTTCAAGTTCCCTCTCCCGCAGCTAGAGAGTGAACCTTTTCAAGTTCCCTCCCCAGCCCAAACGAACGCGGGAGAGTGAACCTTTTCAAGTTCCCTCTCCCGCCGACGACGACAAGGTTGGCCAGCAATTGGACGTGGGCAAGTCGAAAGAGAATATTCAGGCCGCAGGAGCGAGTTCCCCTTCGATCCTCCAAGTGACGACAAGAGACGGTCCTCAGACGGGACTACCCGCACCGCCCACAGACAAAGTTCCCGCTTGATACTTCCCCCTTGTTCAGGCCGCAGGAACTGAGGAGCCCAAAAAGCTCGCTCGGATGACCCGCTCGGGTTCGAACATGAAGTGCGTGCCCCACAGGGATGGAGCGCCCGCCTGATACTTCTCCCATATTCACGCCTCAGGAGCCCAAAAGCGACGACAGTTACAGGTTTCCGATGACCCGCCTCGGATTGGTAAGATGATCTGCGGGCCCCATAGAGAGAGGCTCCCGCCTGAGACTTCCTCGCAAGTCACTCACAGACAACGCTCCCGCCTGATACTTCCTCAAAATTCACGCCCCAGGAGCCCAAAAGTGACGACAGTTACAGGATCCCAATGACCCGCCTCGGATTAGTAAGATGATCTGCGGGCCCCATAGGGAGAGGCTCCCGCCTGAGACTTCCTCGCAATTCACTCACAGACGACGCTCCCGCCTGATACTTCCTCCAAATTCACGCCCCGGGAGCCCAAAAGTCACGACAGTTACAGGATCCCGATGACCCGCCTCGGATTAGTAAGATGATCTGCGGGCCCCATAGGGAGAAGCTCCCGCCTGAGACTTCCTCGCAATTCACTCACAGACGAGGCTCCCGCTAGATACTTCCTCCAGATTCACGCCCCAGGAGCCCAAAAGTGACGACAGTTACAGGATCCCGATGACCCGCCTCGGATTAGTAAGATGATCTGCGGGCCCCATAGGGAGAGGCTCCCGCCTGAGACTTCCTCGCAATTCACTCACAGACGACGCTCCCGCCTGATATTTCCTCCAAATTCACGCCCCAGGAGCCCAAAAGTGACGACAGTTACAGGATCCCGATGACCCGCCTCGGATTAGTAAGATGATCTGCGGGCCCCATAGGGAGAGGCTCCCGCCTGAGACTTCCTCGCAATTCACTCACAGACGACGCTCCCGCTTGATACTCGAGTGAGTGACGGACTGACTGAGTGATGTGTGACGCCAACGGATGATATCCTCATGTGATGATCAT